GCAATGTCCCTGGAGTCTAAAGGCTACGTGATGCTGCCTGGGGAGGCAGCTGGGTTCTGACTGGTGTGTTTGGATCCACGCAATGAAAAGTCACTGGTAGCCCATGAATCTTATTTCAAGCTGGTCCAACTCCAAGTCATTTGTCCACCCTCCCCTTTTTCTCATCTTCATTGAGATTCGCTTTCTCCGTCTCATGCTGAAATCCCAGGGCTCTCAAACGTTCCCTCTCCCGTGCCAATCAAATGCACAGTGCTGTAACCCCAAAGTCCTGAGCCTCACCAGCCTGTAAGGAAGGAATAAAATTACATCTGAATCACTGCATGGGCTCGCATGCCTTAAATCAATAAGAACGTGGTATTCCATAACAGTTGCACTACCACCACTATTGAGGAAAAGTTAATAGTCACTTCAAGAAATTAGAATTCCCCAAAATTACCCACTCCTGTTAGGAGAGCAGTGTGTGTATATGTGTGTGTGTGTGTGTGTGTGTGGCAGGGTGAGGGGGTGATGGATAGGTGCAAAATACCAAAAGGGTTTGTCAAAAGCGATGGGATGAATTAGAGTTCACATTGTATGTATTAGCTGCTGCAACAAATAAACCTTCCAAATCTTACTGGCTTAGTCAATTGAGGTTTATTCCTCCCTGGTATGAAATCCAAAATGGGTCTTCTTGAATAGCTTCCAGCCTTCCTTCAGGTGGAATGTGGGGACCAGGCTCCTTCTATCTTGTGGTATTCACCACCAACAATACTTGGCTTCCAGGACCATTGGCCTATGTATGTGATCACCCTAGCGACAGGAAGAAGGGAATGGAGGAGTGTGCTGGGGTCGGGGAGGGGAGTTAGGGGCCTCACCCCAGAAGTGGTGCACAGCACTTCTGCTCACATTCCCCTGCCTAGAACTCAGTCACACGGCCATAGGTACCTACAAGGAAAGCTGGGACCTGTAATCTGCTGTGTTCTCAGGAAGAAGCAATGAGTTTGGTCAGTCAGTCTGCCGCTCATATAGAGGCTGGCCTTCCCGATTGTGGACAATGTTGAATAGACCTGTCCTTAGTGGTCCAACATTTCACAGAGTCACCCTTGTAAAATGAATGTTCTTCCAAACAGCTTTGCAAAAGAAACAATAAAACTTATAGTTAAAATGTGAATCAACATTTATGAGACCATATAATAAAAGAAGGCTTTATTCCCCGCAAGGTGGAAGGAGGAAAGAAAGTTGTGAGACTCAGATATGGGGTTTTCCCCACTTGGGAACATGGCAGGAGGCCTATTTACCCAAGGTTTATTTGCATTTCAGGTAGAGTGACCAAACAAGGAATTCTAGATAGTTCTGTGGAGACTGCGGGGGAGGGTGGAGAGAGGATGCCTGTCTCTGTTCCAACCAAGCCCCGAGCTCTTTAATATTAATGTTTGCATCTGAAGTCTGGAGAATGAGATTGTGGAAGGAAAAGGCATAAACAGCGTCATGTGGAGGAGACAGCATGGATTTGGAGTCAGGAAGACTTGGGTAATGAAGAAGCTGTATAACCTGGGAAGTTACGATCTCCTCCTGTGTGGAGTGGAGATGACCCCTGAGAGGACTTTGGTCTTTAAAGGGGTGCAGATATTATATACATATATAAAAGATTTGTGTATGTGTGCATTCTGAAATCTGGCACACAAAGTGCCCAATAAATGACAGGTCCCTGTCTCCTCACCCCATTTCCCCTGTCATTCAAAGTGCCCTCCAGTCTTCAGTAGTCTTGAGTATTAGGTGAAGCAACTATTTCTCTTCGCTCAGAGACTTGTTTGAAAATACATCATTACTCAGTGGTAGACACAGGCCTATGTCATCCAGAAAGGTCAGCTGCCTGTCAGGGCTTAAAATTCCAAATCCCCATGTCTTGACCCAGGTCCCACATGCTGCCCAGCTCAGTGGGAGGAAGATAGAATCGCAGCCCATCTCTTTCATCTGTGTTGTCACCAAAGGAGACTCCACTCAGCAACATGACATGGGGGCTTCCTCCTCCTTGCAGTCCTCCCCACTCAGCACAGAGCTCAGGGGCCGCCCTCAAAACTCACAAGGTGATTGGTGAGTCCAGGCAGCAAATGGCGTGTTAATGTCAGGAGAAGGAACTAGATAGAAGGAAGTCAGGGCCCAGTGTGTACAAAGATGGGAAGAAGAGCAAGGAAGTGGGGAGGGCAGGGGCACAAGACATTCCACATGAAGAAGGGCAGGGGGACATCTCCAGTGCACCTCCGCATCTGCTCCCAGGCTCTCCTCTTCTTTTCCAAAGCTTGCCCCTCAGCTGCACTCCCCACCCTGCCCTGGACCTCCTCTGCTCCTGCACTCGCTGTATTCACTGCTATATTCACTGCGGTGCCTTCTAGACCCATAAGAAAAGCTCAATAATACAGAATTCATTTCCTTTAAAGGAGAAGCGTCCTCTCTTGTGTCCATGTGAAGGGAAAGCTCTCACTTCAGTGCAGTTTTAAACCAACAACTCTTCTCAGAGGTGAGGAAACTTGAATCCTGTGCAGAGAGAGGACACAACTTATCCAAGGTCACACAGTGGTGACTCTGAGGCTTAAACCTGCTGCATTAGTTATAAGCAAGAAGTCCTTTGTAAAATATTACTGTCAATAATCCTGAGAACAGCAACGTTTATTGGGTGCTTGCTCTCTCCCAGGCATTGTGCTGAGTTCTGAATATAATTATCTCATTGAATTCTCACCCCAACACTGGGGGGCAGGTACTATCCTTATCTTTATCTTACAGGGGAGGACACAGAGCCTCACAAGGTTCAGTGACTTGTCCAGGGTCCCACAGCTACTATCTTGGAGTGGGGATTTGACCCAGGGGTCAGGCTCCTGAGCTCAGACTCTTCCTGCTACATCTCTAGGTCTGGTTCAGCACAGAGACGTCTAGGTGGGAGGACACACGCTTAACATTTTCATGGTCCCAGATCTTACCCTGCGGTCCCTGCCGGTCACCTCAACCTCGGACTCATGCTCTAGACTCAGAGCACAGGGAGCTGCAGAGCTGGTATTTGGAGCAGCTGATTATTCACTAGTCATTACTGAGAATGAGCCCTCACCTTGCAAAGGCTCTCAGGGGGAGCAGGAATGTTACAGACCAATGTCACCTCAGTAAAAAAGAAAGAAAGAATTAAAGAAATTAATTACAATATAGTGTGCTAAGTGCTATGACCAGACAAGTACAAAAAGAAAGTTAACTCTCCTAGGATCGGGGGTTGAGGGAACTTTGGGAGGTGACATTGGCGCTGAGCCTTGTTACATAGGGCAGAGAAAGAAAGGGAAAAGGGATTCCAAGTTCAAGGAGCAGCCTGAACTGCGGCTGAGAAGCATGAAAGCCTTGACGAGGGGCAGCAATAGAGCAGCCCGGAGTGCCTGGGTGGTTGGGGATCTGGGGTGAGGAGCAAGGGAGGAGCAGGGAGCGGCTGGGCCCCATTGCCAGGCTCTGAGGGCCCCGCTCCCCGCTGAGTAACCCAATGGACAACGATGCAGGTGCTGAAGCCTCCAGCAGAACAGGGACCCAAAATAAGATGAGAAAAGAGGACATCAACAAAGAACAAACTGAATTTCAACATGCCTTTGAGTTGATGCAATTTCAAAAAACATTTAGCATTTTTAGCATTATTTGAATACCTGGACATACATAGGAGAATATCACTATAGTACTCTTTCCAGTGTTTAGGATCTCTAAAAGTTTCTTTCTGGCTCTGATCCTACTGCAGAAATTAGATACCTAAGAATCTCAGCTTGGGAATAGGCAGGATTGAGTTAAGGCATTTTGCAAAACTGCTTTATGAATAACCTATAATGGTACCCCTTAACCCACCTAGGGGTATTGCCAATGTATGATGTCAGTTGTTTGCCAAAAGGATCTGTAAATGGTAGCATTTCAGGGAGCGTGACAAATGAAGCATAACAAGGAGAATCTTTTCCCCAGAATTAGGAACCAGGGCCCCTGCTGAAACATCAAGTCCCTCACTTTCCAAAGAGAAGCCAACCATCTCCAGAGTACCTTAGAAAGAGGCTGAAAATTGGTCCTGCCATTCCCAACCAGCCCAGTCATACTTATGTCACACGAAGTAAGACATATTATGGGACACAGTGTACACGGCCAAAAGTTAAACGTGCCTCCCCGTATTCCTGCTGCCACTGGGGAGTGAAGAGGGCATATTCCTCCAAAAAACCAAGGGAAGTGTGTGCTTCAGAAAATCACTCATCTAGATGGGGAGTGCCTACAAGAAGGGGGAAATGAAATCTCACGCCCCAGCTGGTTGGCTACTGCAGCCCCGCCCCACTCCCACCCCAGTGCTGCATGAAGACAGACATCCTGGAAGAACTTAACATGTATATCGGGAGTTTGGCTTCTCAGAAATGAAGGCGGACACAATGAAGTGCAACTCCATCCCCAGAAACTTACATGTGTCTTATCGGCAAAGACCACCGGACCTGCCTGGGTGCCCAGCAATAGAGAGAATCAGACCAAGCCAGAAATAGACCGAGGTCACTTCCTCACCACCTGCATCTAGGAGCACCACTGCTGGCTCTCCTGCTGCCTGTCCTGCCATCAGTTCCAGAGGCGCTGGGGCTCAGAGCAGGCAGGGGGGTTGTGAAAGAGTGGACTGCTCCCTTGCTAGCCGGCACTCAGTTCCTAGATTGTAATGTCTGTAAGGACATATTCCTCATGCCTAGCATGTGCCTGGCCCTGAGAAGACTTTTGTCACCTGTGTTGAAAAATAAATCAGTGAATAAAAGTATATCATAAAATTTAGTGCTCACCCCCACCCCTTTCTCAGTCACCCAAGGCTTTCCTGGTTTAGGAGTCTTATTTGTTGCTCAGAGGAGGATGCTCCCTTAGCTCAGAGACTTGCTTAGGTAACAACATGGCATTACCCAGGGTACACACGGGGTTGGGTGTGTGATCTCCAGAAATGTCAGTTTCTGGGCGGGGCTGAGACTCCCACAGTCCCTAGTCCCTCCCAGCCCTGACCTTGTAACGCAGCACAGTGTGTGGAAGGGCATAAATTTCCACTGTTTTCAGCCCTGCTGCATTTTCACTGAAGACTTCCAACAAGAACATGAAGTTGGGAGGCCTCCTCCTCCTTGTGACCCTCATCACCCTCAGCTTAGGGGTACAGGAGCTTCAGGCTCAAGTGGAACGGAAGCACCCCTTGGGTAAGTCCAAGCAGAAGGCAACCCCCTTCTTCTTTGAATGAGGGAGTCAGAAAGTAGGACAATCAGGGACCAGTGTGTGCAGGGGCAGTAAAGGAAGAAAGGAGGGAAGGAAAAATATTGGTATCAATGAGCCATTGCAGGGACCCACCTTGACTGCAGAATCTCTCTTCCTCTGCCTCCACTTTCTCCCCTCCTTTCCCTGGGTCACCCCTCCATCTGAACTCTTCACTCCTCCCTTTGTCACCTCATCAGCCACCCTTCATCTCCCCTGCGTCTCCCTCTCCACCAGCTTCTTTGTCTCTGGCTACAAATAGATTGACTCACTTAGAGAAAACATTTTCTATATCGTGTTAAACATGAATCATCTCAATCTCTTCTTTTCCTTTTACCACCAACATTCTCAAAGGACTAAACTGAATTCTCTGCCCTTACTTCCCCGTAACTCATTCCTTAACCCCTTGAAGACTGACCGTAGTCATTCCTGCCCCCAGCCCTCTCCTGAAACTTCTCTCCCAGGTCCTGTGGACAAATCTCTTGAATCTCCTCAGGAGCCAAAGTCTTTATCCTCTGTATCATCCAACACTGTTTCCCACTTCATCAATCTTCAAACTTTCTTCTCTCCTGGATTCTCTGCACTGGACCTTTTTCTTCTCCTTAAAGATTATTACTTTCAACTCTTACTCCTCTCCCTTCTTCGCTCTCCTTCCCCTACATTAGACTGGTTGCCAAATGCTATGCATTCTTTGTAATTGTCTCTTGCATGTGTTCCTTCCTCTCCACCCCCATGGCCACACTGTATTTCCAGCCCTGATTTCCCCATCTTGGGCCACTGCAATTGCTTCCCAGATGCTCTCCCTGCCCCTCTCTTCCTTCTGAAGTTTGCCTGCTTGTTGAATCCTGGTCCATTCTCTGCTCTCCTGCCAGAATAATCTTCATAAGTAAACTGCAACCATATCCCTCTCTTGGCCTCCCAAATGAAATCCACTCTCCTCGTGTCCTCAAGATCCATACGCTGTAACTTTGTCTCCAGCCTACTTTCTTGCTCAACTTTCAACTCTTCCCTAACACTTCTCCAGCCTTCCATTTGCCATTTCCCCTGGATTCCTTGTATTTCAGGGTGTGGAGTGACGAGATGAGGCACCTCAGGTGCAAAATTGAAGCAGGTTTTCATTCTCAGGGTTGTGCAAGTGCCTCATTAATTTTTTTTTTAAAGATTTTTTATTTTTTCCTTTTTCTCCCCAGAGCCCCCCGATACATAGTTGTATATTCTTCGTTGTGGGTCCTTCTAGTTGTGGCATGTGGGATGCTGCCTCAGCGTGGTTTGATGAGCAGTGCCATGTCCGCGCCCAGGATTCGAACCAACGAAACTCTGGGCCGCCTGCAGCGGAGCGCGCGAACTTAACCACTCGGCCACGGGGCCAGCCCCCCTCATTAATTTTTGTACCGTACATGCCTCATGTGCCTCGCCTTGTTGCGTTTTCCCCTGTGAACTTTTGGTAGGACTTCTTTTCTCTCCTCACAACACTCTAACACTCCCCTCAATTCTGCCTTAAAAAAATCCCTGTACTTCAAGACTCACCTTTTCTCATTAATCCCATTGGAAGTAATGTCTTCTCTTCTCTCCTCTGAGCCCATTTAGTCCTTTGGATGTACCTCTCTCAGGACACTTATCACAAACTGCTTTGTTTCTAGTACTTTAAACCTAAGTCTTATCTCCATTGTTAGACTCTAAGCTTCTTGAAGGTAATGACCCTCTCATACATCTTTGTATTTCCTGAACAACTTACCTCAGCACTTTATACATAGTAAGAAATCACTGAATATAATGAGTGACCAAACAGCTGTGAGTGGGGACAAGAAGTTTTCAACCCTCTCACCATGAACTAACAACAGGTAATAGAAATTTGGAGGGATCATGTTGATTTTCCCTTGGGTCTGCAAGTGTGTTGTAGACATCCCATCAGGCCCCCTTCTTACACCCTCAGACCTTGCTAATCAATTATAGGTGATCAACCCATCAGGCCCTCTTCTTACACCATAGACCTTGCTACTCAACCCTTTGTCTTGGCGACTGGACAAGGCTTCCCAGCCTGCTCAACACAGCATCAGACAGCCAACTCTACTGATTGGAGTTGATGCTGGAGAAGGAATGTCATTTCCCCTGCTGCATCCAAGGGCTCCATTTTACACATGAGGAAACATCAGCCCAGAGACATCCAGAGACAGAATCGGGTAGAGAACCTTCTGATAACAGCTGAGTAGCCAGCCAAGCACAGCACACATTTGTCCAGAGCTCTTCCTATATTTTGCTATAAGCCCCTGTGGGTTCTTAACCAGCTTCTTGGTCCTAGTTCATTGATCCTCAAAGACTAACTTTGAGACTCTGGGAACCTGAGAAGCCTCCATTCAGGTCAGAAGGGACTCCTTGAAATTTGGAGATGTGCTCTCCATGGCATGATCGATTTCACCATGTAAGACTGCAGAGGGAGCCTGGGCTTAGGGGCCAGGCAGGTTCTGCATCAAGACAAGCTGATGCAGAGAGCTCTTGACATAATGGCCTCTCTTGAGACTGAATACTAATGTTGATAGCATTAATTAAATTGAACCAGATGGCATAAATAATACATTATTTGCACCAATCAACATTATGATGTTCCAAGCTGATGGAAAATAAATACTGAGAGTAACAACAAAGGAAGAAATTCCAAATGCAGATACAATACAATATTCCATCTAACATGTCTCCTGGATCAGGGTATGGGAGAATATTGTTGCAATTCTGCCAAAGGAATGCAAAATCGGTAACAAATGTTGCTTTCTCACTGCCAAATTTTGTTCTACCAATGGTGTGTCAGACAAAAGACATTATACAGAGGACTGTGATTGAAGGTAAATTACTGATGAATAGACCAGTGTTTCATGTAATTATGTGTGCCTATCAACAAGGATGTGTTGTGATGCTAGGAAGTGCAAGTTTTTAATTGCCTATCTCTGCAATTAGTTTAAAATTATGTAGTATATGTTAAAACAAGGAACAGAAATAAAACAGATGTAGAAGAGCCATAAAACAAGAAGATCAGAAAACAGCCCAAATGTTTATCTTGAATTTAACCAAATATGTATCAGGCCAAATATACAGTCCCAATGATCTTTACATTAATCCAAATATTAAGTTAAAATAATTTTAAATTATTATCAGAACACACACACATAGATGATAGATAGAAAGATAGGTAGACAGATAGACAGGTAAGGATGGAGACTATGTTTAGAAGGAAACCCAAAAAATTATAATAGGGCTTTCCTGTGGAGAGGGAACAGGGTGGGAGGGATGGAGGTCAGGAATGGGGAGAAAAATTATAAGATTGGGGTTCTTTTTCATACAGGCAGCAGGGGCAGGCTGTGGGACTCAGTGTTAATTGGCATCTGAAGGCACATAGAATTGGTGGGAGGCTGGCTCTCTTTGTGTTCTGAGATTTAATTATCTATGCCCAGAAGAAATGAAAAGAAAGGAGTGAGCAACAACGTAGTATCCTCTTCTCCCAGGATGCTGCAGCTGCTGACCATCAGTTCATTTTCCCATGGACAAAACAGTACTGTGTGCCTTCAAGGAAGAGAGGAGAAAAGATTGGGGGTGTCAAGAAGGGGAGAGGCTAAAGCCCCACTGGGGACTGAGGCACTTCAGCCCTCTCTCTCTCTCAAAAGCAGGTCCCACTCCCTTCTACAGAGGCAGTCTGGGTTCTGGGAAGACTGTTTTGTTTTCTAGGTGGATCAAGACCCGGAAGATGTCCAACGGTGCCTCCAGGAACTTTTGGACATTGTGCTGAATTGTGCACAGGAGATGCATCTTGTCCCAAGGGACAAAAATGCTGCAGCAACGGTTGTGGCCATGTCTGCCGAACTGCTGTTTAAGCCGTGAGTATAAGATAGAGAGCTGCTCACGGGAAACATGGGTCCCTATGGCCTTCACAGTGCAGAAGGGACCCCAACCACCCCCTCCTCACTGAAGCCTGGGTGGCAGATGGAGAAAGCTGGTTGGTAGCAGAGAGCAGGTATTTCTTGAAAGTGTCATGATTATCTTTGTGTTGTAGGAGGAAGACTTCTTTATCCATTTGGATGAGCCATGAACCTTAGCCTCCTTCAGTGACCACTCCCAAATGTCATCTTTATTCCAACACCCTGGAGGAGAACAGCTTTCCTACTATCTTTTCCTGCCTGCTCTCTATTCCTGGAACCCCTGTACCACGACAGGAGGATATAAAATAACTTTGGCTTAGATGCTCGGTTCTGGCAATTGTGTGAGGAATCATGGAGTGACTGCTTCCAAGATTAACCTTCTTCTGAATAAAATTATTTCTGTTGCATTAACCAACCTGGAGCATTATTTCTATGTAAGACTCTAGCTCACTTACATTCGTTCCTCTGCCTCCAACAGGTATTTAACCGCAACCCACGGAACCTATATCTTTTCCGTTATCCATCATGCCCCATATCCTCTCTGTCCCCCTTATCCTTACTTTTTATATGAGATATTTATAGTCACAATAACAATGTATAACAAGCTACCCCAAAATTCATTGGCTTAAGATAGCAATCATTCTCCCAGACCTGTGAGTTGGCAAAGGGGTCAACGGTTCTACGTTGGGCTCAACTGGGCAACTCTGATGATCTTGGCTGGACTCACTCATGCATCTGAAGTTGGCTGATTCAACTGGGATTGGCTGGGGCAACATGGCTCCACTCCACCTATTTCATCCTTCTCCTAAGCCAAAGACCAGCCCAGGTGCTCAATACTGCCTCGAAATCTCACCACATTTCCCTAGAAAATTCACTTCTGACCCTCTAAGATGACTATTTCATGCTTCCTCTCTTCCCTCAAGTCTCCATCTCATCTACCTCTTACTCTAACCTCCACCATGCGGGTCTCACTGGCTACCTCACCACATCCTTTCTCGGAAGAATAGTTGTAAGTCTGCGAAAATTCCCTCCTCTTTTACCCCGTCTATTTGTACCCACTGACTCTGCTTTATCCTCTATAATAACGCAAAAAACGATCCCCCCTCCTATTTAAGTCCAACCCCTCCACATGATTTTGGGTGCTTCTTATCTAATCAAGGGCTTCACTTCTCTAATTATTACCTCCAGTATCATAGGTGTCTGCCTGCTCCTGGATCACTCCACCCTTGTCATACAACTATGTATTGACTCCATGCTTCAATCCAGCTACCAGCCACTCCACAGCTGAAATTCCAGACACACTGTGTGTCTGTACTTGCTTCTCTGCTTCCTCACCCCTGCCCACACCCATTCTCTCCTCAGGGAGCAGCCTCCCTCTTCCCTGTGATTGGCTCCAACCTCCACTTCCCCTCACTCCAGCCAAGCTTCCTATGGTCTACCACACACTGGAACTTGGCTAATGCCACTCATGTAGCCTGAGTGTCACCTCATCCTGGAGCCTTCTGTGCAGGGAACAAAGAATAGAATACTAGCACACCTCAACATGAATGATCTCAGGTGCTAGCAGAGTGGCTGAGGGCCCTTTTGGGCATCTGGTCTGGAGGATGATACCCAAGGTAGTGATAAATGGATCGTAATTCTATTCAGAGTACCAGAACTCTGTGGAGGTTGTAAGGAATAGTCTGTTACCTTCGGGAGTTTAAACCTAACTGAGGATAAGGAACACATCCGGAGGAGAAGGAAAATACTTTATTTGGTATATTATCAGATATTAAATATTTTCCCTGTATTATATCATTATCCTTACAATAGCCCTGGGAGTTGAGTTTTCTGGGCCTCTGATTCTTCATGAAGAAACCTAGAGAGATTAACTATCAAGGTCACATCGCCAGGATGTAGTAGCACCTGCATTTAAACCCAGATCTTCATGGCTCCAAAACCCCCTCTTTTTCCTATACTACCTCCAACAATAAAATGCAGGATGTATGTTTATCTGGGAATTTAATTCCAATTAACTACTTTGAAAGCAGTTGTACTTACCACTCTCCCACAGTGGGAGTCACGTGTAGCGTTGGGGCCTTAGGAATTGACACTAAAGGGTTTCCTAACACTTGGTTAGTGATTTGTTAGAGTATCTTGGTTATCGTTTGGGGGACCAAGTATTTGAAAGACCTGGATCAATGATATAGTCTCTGTGCCAAGCTGACTGAACAGTCCCTAAAATAGAGGCTAGGGGCCTTGGGTCCTCCTGAAACTTTCAGACATAAAGAGGGACCTCTAAGTGTGCGTTATGAGAATAGCACTGTCTCACCTGACAGTGGCTTGCAATGTCCCTGAGTCTAAAGGCTCCATGACACAGCTGCATTCTGAGTGGCATATTTGGATCCATGCATTGAAAAGTCATTGGTGGTCCATGAATCTGTACTTAGGTCAAGCTGATCCAACTCCATGACATTTGTCCACCCTCCCCTTTTTCAGTCTCATGCTAAAATCCCAGGGCTCTCCAATGTTCCCTCTCCTGTGCCAGTCAAATGCACATTGGTGTAACCCCAAAGTCCTTGAGACTCACTAGCCTATAAGGAAAGAATAAAATTACATCTGAATTACAGCATGGGCTGGCACACCTTAAATCGATAAGAATGTCGTATTTCATAATGGCTACAGTACCACCATTATTAAGAAAAAATTAATAGTGACTTCAAGAAATTAGAATTCCCGAATGTAGCCATTCTCCTTAGGAGTGCACTGGGGGGAAGGGGTGGCGTCCAGGGACTGGATAGGAGGAAGAGACCCAACGGGATTGTCAAAAGTGATGGGACGAATTAGAGTTCTCATTGTATGTATCAGCTGCTGCAACAAGTAAACCCTCCAAATCTTACTGGCTTAATCAATTGAGGTTTATTTCTCCCTGGTATGAAATCCAAAATCGGTCTTCTTGAATAGCTTCCAGCCTTCCTTCAGGTGGAATTTGGGGACCAGGCTCCTTCTATCTTGTGGTATTCACCACCAACAATACTTGGCTTCCAGGACTGTTTGCCTATGTATGTGCTTCAGCCTAGCGACAGGAAGAAGAGAATGGAGGAAGGTGCAGTGGTGGGGGAGGTGCATCCCAGAAGTGGTGCACAGCACTTTTGCTCACATTCCATTGCCTAGAACCCAGTCTCACGGCCATAGGTACCTGCAAGGAAAGCTGGGACCTGTAATCTGCTGTGCTCTCAGGAAGAAGCAATGAGTTTGGTCAGTCAGTCTGCCCCTCATACAGAGTTCGCCTTCCTGATTGTGGCCAAGGTTGAATAGACCTGTCCTTAGTGACCAACATTCCAGAGTCACCCTTATAAAATGAATGTTCTTTCAAACAGCTTTGCAAAAAAAAACACAATAAAACCTATAGTTAAGAGGTGAATCCACGTTTCTGAGAACGTATAATAAAGGAAGGCGGGAGGATTCAGCACAAGGCAGAAGGAGGAAGGAAAACTGTGATACTCACATGTGGGGTTTTCCCCACTTCGGAACATGGCAGGAGTCTTATTTACCCAAGAGAATCTCTCCTTGCTTGCATTTCAGGTAGTGTGACCAAACAAGGAGTTCTAGATATTTCTATGGAGATTGTGGGATAAGGGGCAGGAGAGAGGATGCCTGTCTCTGTTCCGACCAAGCCCTGAGATCTGTAATATTAATGTTTGGATCTGAAATCTGGAGAATGAGATTGTGGAAGGAAAAGGCATAAACAGTGTCACGTGGAGGAGACAGCATGGATTTGGAGTCAGGAAGACTTGGGTAGTGAAGAAGCTGTATAACCTGGGGAGTTACGATCTCCTCCTGTGTGTAATGGGGATGACCCCTGAGAGGATTTTTGATTTCTATAAGGGGTGGACATATATAATGTATTTGAAATATATTATTTAAAAGTAAATATATAAAAGATTTGTGTGTGCATGTGCTGTAAAATCAGGCACACAAAGTGCCCAATAAATACCAGGTCCCCATCTCCTCATCCCATTTTCTGATGTCATTCAAAGTGCCCTCCAGTCTTCAGTAGTCTTGAGTATTAGGTGAAGAAGCTATTTCTCTTGGCTCAGAGACTTGATTGAAAATACATCATTACTCAGTGATAAACACAGGCCCATGTCATCCAGAAAGGTCCGCTGCCTGTCAGGGTTTAAGCTGCCAAATCCCTGTGTCTTGACCCAGGTCCCACATGCTGCCCAGCTCAGCGGGAGGAAGATAGAATCGCAGCCCATCTCTTTCATCTGTGTTGTCACCAATGGAGACCCCACTCAGCAACGTGACATGGGGGCTTCCTCCTCCTTGCAGCCCTCCCCATTCAGCACAGAGCTCAGGGTTTGCCTTCAAAACTCACAAGGTGATTGGCGAGGCCAGGCAACAAATGGCGTGTTAATGTCAGGAGAAGGAACTAGATAGAAGGAAGTCAGGGCCCAGAGTGTACAAAGATGGGAAGAAGGGGAAGGGAGTGGGAAGGGCAGGGGCACAAGACATTCCACATGAAGAAGTGCAGGGGGACACCTCCAGTGCCACTTCCACATCTGCTCCCAGGCTCTCCTCTTCTTTTCCAGAGCTCATCTCTCCATCTGCACTCCCCACCCTGCCCTGGGCCTCCTCTGCTCCTGCACTCGCTGTATTCACCAAGGTGACTTCTGGGCACAGAAGAAATGTCAATAATTCAGAGTTCATTTCCTTTCAAGGAGAAGCATCCTCTCTCATGTCCATGTGGAGGGAAAGCTCTCACATCAGTCAGATTTTTCTTTCTTTCTTTCTTTCTTTTTTTTGCTGAGGAAGGTTTGCCCTGAGCTAACATATGTTGCCAATCTTCTGTTTCTCTTGAGGAAGATTTGCCCTGTCCTTTAAGACTCATCTTTTCTGATTAATCCTATTTGAAGTAATGTCTTCTCTCCTCTGAGCCCCTTTAGTCCTTTGGATGTTCCTCTCTCAGGACACTTTTCACAAACTGCTATTTCTAGTACTTTAAACGTAAGTCTTATCTCTGTTGTTAGACTCTAAGCTTCTTGAAGGTAATGATCCTCTCTTACATCTTTGCATCTCTAAATAACTTTCCTCTGTGCTTTATACATAGTAAGAAATCTACAGATATATTGAGTGACCAAACTGCTGTCAGCAGGGACAAGAATTCTTCAACCCCCTCACCATAAACTAACAACAGCTAATAGAAATATGGAGGAGTAAGACTGATTTTCTCTAAGGTCAGAAAGCACATTTTGGACATCCCACCTTTCCCCCTTCTTACCCCCTCAGACATTGCTAATAAATCCTAGCACTCTTTCTCTTGGAGCCTGGACAAGGCTCCCCAGCCTTCTCAGCACAGCATCTGACAGTCATCTCTATGGATTGGAGTTGACACTGGAGAATGAACTTCATTTCCCCTGCTGGATCCA